CTAACCATTTATCCATCCATTCATCCACCTAATCATTCATCCATCCATTCATCCAACTAACCATCCATCCATCCATCCTTCAGTATTTATGCATTGGGGGGGGGGCTAAATATAAATAAATATGAAGTCTGACTGTAATTATTTGGATAGTATTTGGTCTATATTGGAACTGTTTATTTTGATAAAAACTGACTATAAYTGTGAATCAAATTTTCTTGTTTTGAATTTGAGTTGGACATTTTTTATTTCACTGTCCTGAGTCTCTGCAGTCTTGACTGTCAATAATGAAAACATCTGTATGTTTTAATGTTAAAACAAGGATGAAGAATTCAACAAAATTAAAATTAACATTTAATTTATCTCTTCTCCATTCGGATCTGTTTCTACCGAACTAAACCTTTTAGAATTTAATTTCTTTGTTGTTTTGATTAACTTTGAATCAGAAAACGAACACTTGATCCAGCTTATTTGCAAACTAAAAAWTTTTATGCCGTAATTATTTCACTTCAAACACCAAACACTCATGCTGTTGCTCGTTCAGCCTGATTTACATCTTGTACCTACAAGAAAAAACATTTGACAARGGCTCAAAATTCATCCTAAAAAGCAGAACAGAAGTGGCTCCACCTGTAGCAGCGATAAGAAGGAGAGCTTTTTATCCCACATGACTGAGCAGGAACACCAATTTGCATAAAGATATTTTATTTCCCTGACTTTTTGATAGGTTTATCTGTGTTATGAAGAGCTCCCCGAAGGAGCGAGACTGTAAATATCTCCAGACTTTGAGGGAAATCAGCCATTAAACACCTGTTTAATTAAAGAATAGCCAAATCTGTCAAACCTGTCCCGACACGACTGTTTCTGTCCAGATGTTGTCAGAATGAAGGATGTAGAACAAAGACTAGTTGAAGCTGTTCTTTTCAAAATAAAACCAACAAACTGTTTAATTTACGTTTCTCCTGTCSGGGTCACAGGGAGCTGGAGACTGMATATGTCTCCAGTTTAACACAGGGACACCTGGACTGTCTCCAGTTTAGCACAGGGACACCTGGACTGGTCTCCAGTGTGTCACATGGACAAGAGGACTGGTATCCTGTCTAACACAGGGACACCTGGACTGGTATCCTGTCTAACACAGGGACACCTGGACTGGTCTCCTGTCTAACACAGGGAAACCTGGACTGGTCTCCAGTCTGTCCTATGGACACCTGGACTGGTCTCCTGTCTAACACAGGGACACCTGGACTGGTCTCCGGTCTGTCCCATGGGGACAAAGAACCATCAACAGTTTAGAGTCTCCAGTGAATCTCACGTGGACATAAGGACAACCAGATAACAGGAGAAACCCACTTGTGGACGGGGAGAACGTGTAAACTCAACCCAGAAAGCCTCCAGGCTGGGAGTCAAACCCTAACTCTTCTTGCTCAGAGGCAACGGCTCAACCATGGCTCTGCTGCTGGTAGTGGTTGGMAGTGATCAACACAAACRCTGAGRTCTAACTGAACTGAACACTACAAAAGGCAGCGGGTGACGTGCATTCCTTCATGTTTGCCTGTTTTTCCARAACTCAAACGACAGAAACCATTTCTCTCAGCATCACAGTCAGCCAGAGCCTCGGAGGTGAASGGTCCCACAATTTCTCCGGCTGTTTTCTTTTGTTTTCACCGACCGCAATCAGGCGAATCAGAGAATCAAGAGCCAAAGCTCGGCTGTGGAGCTGAAGAATGTCACTGAAACCATTTTGTTGTCATTGGTTTTTGATTTCAGTGACAGTATTTCAAGATGCATTTTCGCAGGAAATGCAGTTAATCCAGTTTGTAGTTTGTTTATTTGAGTAAGGTAACATATTATTGTGTATAATGGTGCTGATTTGTGTTTCTATTTAAAATAMTGTGCTGTGAACTCTTGTTCTTTAAAGGAGGTAATAAGTTAAAGCATTACAATTAAGTCAGCCTAATAAACACATTTAAAGTTTTTTTATTGTAAAACCTCTTATTGTCTCAAAAGTTCATCCCTGTGTTTTACTGTTAGTCGGTTACCAATGAGGCAAGCCGAGGGCCGCAGTGCCCGCCGTCTGAAGCCATATGGATCGGCAGACTCTCTGAGATTATGTCCATCGATTGGATCTGAGGGGTTTGTGGATTCAATCGACGCTGTGCTCCGGCTGACTTTGTCTTTTTTTTTCTTCTGTGATTCCAGGGGCCGAAGGAGCCGTGTTCAGCAAATCGGTGGAGACGCCGCACGTCAGGGCCGAGCCGTTCAAAGAACTGCGGTGAGTCTGAAGTCATTCTCGGTGCGGGGGAGGGGGGGCAACAAAAAGATAAACAGGAAATAGATTTTAATGATGCCACACCGGGGATGTAGTTTAAAGCAAAACACCTTGAATCAGAACCGACTGCAGCCGGGATTTTCGGAGGAAATGAGACTTAAATGGTGGAGATAAAAAGGTTTTCAGTGTAATATTTCTTCAAGGTGGATGGTGTTTTACAGTTTATCTGCTCCTTACAGGCATCAGTCCAATTCATCTCAGGCTCACTGTGTGGTTTAATCTCTCCTTCGTCTCCCCGACAGTTTTTTTTTCTTTTCTTTTTTTTTTTTTTTGTACGGGAGCGAAGTGTGGATGCCTCCCTAATGTAAATGTCTTGTTTATCATCATTCACTCGGCTGCGCTGTCAGTTGCGATGACAATCAATCAGGGCGGGAAGCTCTGCGAAAGAGACCCAGAGGAGGAAGTAAGAAGAGAAGCTTGTGAGGAAATAAAAAAACAAGGAGGAAGAACAACAGAGCTGTAGTAAAACTGAAACATTTGGGACCCGAAGAGGAAAACTAYAGTACAGAAAACATAAAAAACCCAAAGTCTTACATGTTGGTAGAGGTTTTTAGGATGAATCCAGGATAGTTTTTACAGATTAACAGAAGAGTCCGAGAATAAAACAACAACAATAGAACAGTTTTAAATAAAAATCTGTTGATATAAAAAATTGAAGTTTCAAGCGGCTGTGTTGTTAATGCTTTTATTTGTATAGACATGTTTTTAATTTCTGTGGAATCAACGTTTTTTACTATTATAGAAAATTAAGGGTAAAAAATGACTGAGTTCAGATCCGTCGTCATCCATATAATTTGAGTTTTTTCTTGTCATTCTTTAGTTTGTAACCTCCTCGACACCAGCTGAGGATGAAATCTGGCCGAAACGATCCAATTATGTCAGAGCTCATCGGAGCGCAGCTAAAACCTAATCTGACTCGTTCCAAAACTCCTCCTGGCAGGTAGCAATCGAGGATTCAAATCCAGTTTGAGAAAAACGCCTCACTGTGTTTCCACTGAACCCAGAACCATCTGAGCTGAATGTGTCGACACAACGGCTCCAACGAGGTTTGATTTATTGAACTCTGAGCAAAAATAAAAATAAATTTAAAAAAACGGGAAAACGACAAGRTAACATTTAAAGGAGCTAGTTAAATATAGCAAAAAATCTAGCTAAAAGCTGAGTAAAAAAGTCGTCAGAACAGCAGCTAAAAAAAGGCAGAACAGAAGCTAAAAGTAGAGAAAAAGTCTAAAGTAGCAAATTCCTCACTCCATGTAACAAAACACTAAATACAAGCTAAAATTTAAAGGAGCTAGTTAAATGTAGACAAATTTCTAGCTTAAAGTTCAATAATAAAAACACGAGAACAGCAGCTAAATATAGCAGAACATTAGCTAAAGGCAGAAAGTCACAAGTTCGTCTCCTTCTAGCTAAAAGCTAAAGTGAAACGATCCTGTCCTGGAAACAGTTTCTTGTCCTCATAAGAAGACAGGATGTCTTCACGAGGACATGACGTCCTCTGATTTAAATATCTCAGGGTAATTAAAGTTCTTTACCTTCTCTTTTCATCTGGAACATCTTCACCTCACTTCTCCTCCTCCTCCTCCTCTTGACTGRGTTACCTTGATCTCCTCTTTCTCCGGATCCTTCGTCTCCTCTGATCTCGTCTTTCCTCCTTCACCTCATCCTCGCTCCGCTTCCTGCCTTCTTCTGTGATAATCTGTGACCTTGAGTTGTTTCAGAAGGACGACGCATCAAAACAAAAATTAATTCAGTTGATGTGATCAGAAGACTTCACTCTTTTCTCCTGAAAATTGCAGCTTTCGCCTTTTATTCTGCTCATCTTGGGGACAATCTGGATTAAAGCTTGTTGTTCTTTCAAAGCAGCCCTTTCTTTGTYTTTATTTGCATGTCTYTTAMCAAAATATCTCAAGAACCAAAAGACTTAATGAAGCCCAAAAATGTCTAAAGCTCAGTCAGTTTTAAAGCTGTGGAGCTAAACCCTGGTGTGGTGGTAACTGAGAGTCACCTCAGACGCAGACTCTGAGGTCTGACTGATCTCACAGGATCCTTCAACCTGTTTTCTTTATCTCTGTTGGTTTTATTATCCAGCCTGAATCAGACGCTCTGTCTGTTCCGAGACATTAACCAGACCCAACGGTTCTGACTCTGACCTTCATACAGAACAGAACCCGTGTTTCTGCTGTTATCTGAAGGCGAACGTTATGAAGAAGCAGCGTGAAACGTTATTAACCTTCGATCCTCCGTGTAGATATGAAGAGGAAGCAGGACAGACAGGAAGATGAAAKTTTATTGATCTCCAGCAGGAAATGAGGTCGTCAGTCGTAAACAGCTCTCAGGTGACAACGTGAAAATAAAATTTTTAAATATATCATAAATACTGTATAAGAAAACAGGAAGTAAAAAGAGTGAAATATAGAAAAATGACAAACATAGAGAAAAATCTGCCACCGCTGCATGGAATCCATTTATTTATTCATCCATTCAGTTATCTACCATTCATCTCTCCATCGACCAATTCATCCATTTATCTACCCATTCATCCCTCCATCAATTTATCTACCATTCATCCCTCCATCTACTCATTCATCCATTTATCTATTCATCCATCCATCTACCTATTCATCCCTTCATCCATTTATCTATTTATCCATTCTTCCATCCATTTATCTATTCATCCTTCTATACCCATTCATCCCTCCATCCATTTATCTACCATTCATCCCTCCATCTACTCATTCATCCATTTATCTATTCATCCATCCATCTACCCATTCATTCCTTCATCCATTTATCTATTTATCCATTCATCCATCCATTTATCTATTCATCCATTCATCCATTTATCTAGTCATCCATTTATCCATTCATCCGTTTATCCATTTATCTAGCCATTCATCCCTTCATCCATTCATCTAGCCATTCATCCTTTCATCAAGTTATCTATTTATCCAMTCAWCCATCCATTTATCCATTCATCCATTTATCTACCCATTCATCCCTCCATCTATTTATCTACCTGTTCATTCATCCATTCATTTAGCTTACAGTTCATCCATTCATCCATCCATCCATCTGTTTGGCCAACTGTTCATCGACTTATCCATCCATCCTTCCATTCATCCAGTTGTTCATCCATCKATTTATCCAACTTTTTATCCATCCATCCATTTATCTACTCATCCATCCATTTACCATCTGTTCATCCATCCATTCTTCCAACCGTTCATCCATTTGCTCATCCATTTCATCCTACCATTCATCCAACCATTTATTCATCCGGCCATCCATTCATCCACCATCCATCTTACTCTTGTTCGGGTCTTGGGGGATTTCAGTGAAAAGCATCTCTGTGTGTGAAAAATAAAACCTCCTTGTTGGTGACAGGAAAACAGAAAACCAACAAAGACCCGTCCTCTGCAGGTCTAAATCTTATGAAGCGTTATGACATCGCCTCTGCTTACAGTAAAGATGGGCTCTGAGTGTTTTTTTATTTTTTTTGTAGAGATGTGACGAGGCGTGGGCTGATTTTTAAGCCTCAGACAGAAGCGTGTGAGCAGGTGGTGTCGAAGTGTCGGATCCACTCAGTTTACAATCCGGTCACGGCTCTGTGTGTTTCTGCTCCCGGGATGATTAGTTTGAGATGTGGAAAATCTTCAGGTCCTCACATAAAGGTCATGTTATTGTTCGATACATTAAATCTATACAGGATGTCATGTTGTGTTCGGGGAAAAAACAGCATCAGCAATTTATTGATTAATCAATTACTGACACTCCTGATGACAACTGTGTACGAAGCACATCTGTCCACACAATCAGTTTCTCACATCCCAACCTCTCCACCACTAAGAGCTGTTGGAGGACTTCAGGGACCAGATGGTAGACCTGCACAATGCTGGAATAAGCTACAAGACCATCAGTGAGAAGCTTGATAAGATGGTGAAAACTTGGTTTGATTATTCAGAAACAAAATACCATCAGTCACCCTCGGTCCGGTGCCTTAAAAGATCCTCCTCGAGAAGATGAAAGATGAGTTTTCAGCCCACCATCTCAAGGCAATTTGGACCAGAATCATCAAAAACACCTTTGGTGCCACACTGCAATGTAATGAGTTGAAGTCCATCAGAACCTGTAAAGTCCCCTGAAGGCCCGTCAAGCTCTTTGATGTCAACTTGACCTGTCGAGTTTGAAAGATGAGAAATGTAGCCTACAGAACAGCATCCTCAGCCAAACATGGAAGTGAAATCATTGTTTGGATCTGTTTTCCTGGGTACACAATGAATGACCTGAGGGGCCAAGGGACATGGACAATGAACCATAAAACGTCCCTCGGCCATAACTCTGGAGGTGGGTCATGGATGGGTCTTCCAGAAGAACAATAACCTAAAACATCTACCAAGGCAGCTAAACAGTAGAMAACGAAGTTGTACATTTGGGGTCATGGAACGTCCTTGAAAGTCTCCAGACCTCAGTSCTGCAGAAAACCTGTGGAGCTGAAACTTTGACGTTACCAATCAGCAGCTTAAAAACTTAACCCTCTGTTGCCATCGGGTCTAAATGACCCATGAAGCCTCAACTAAGATCTTGTTGGTCATTTTGCAGTGTTTGCATCAGTTGGACTCTTGTGTTTTTGTACTTTGGTCCTTTTAAGAATGATAAGAGTTTAGCTAAAGGTTAGTGGTAGCCTATAGGTGATTTTGGACCATAGAGGACTGGTCCACAATCATTAAAACCTCTTTTAAGCCGTTTTTGTTTTCATACTTGCAGATCCGTTGTTGTTCAGTCCTTATAATGGCTGCTCTTTTTGAGCTCCAGTTTTGGAGGACACGGTTCAATGATATAAAGCGATGATTGGTCCATTTATAAATGTAGTGTAGTTGAATGTGCTCTTAAAGCATCCCACACCACTAACATTGCATGAGCACTGCTAAAATAGARGTCTGTCTCCAGTGTGCGTCTTCATTAAAGGTGTTCTGCACAAAATACACAGATTTYTGATATTTTGGCTCCTAGAAACTCCTCCTTCTMGGTGTTTGTAGCTTTCTGGAAACACTGCTTTAAAAATTTAAAGAAAAAGRCCACAACACGGCGCTRTGACCGCTGAGTGCTCCATTGTTCTTGTTAATGGTGGCTCTAAACGTTATCTGTATAAGTTACAAGTTGTGCACAATCACAGCATTTCCCTGGGAGTGCCGAAGCAGACACATAAGTCCTGAGAACTGCTCCACTGTGGGACGAACTGACTGATAACTGTGTTGTTACAACTCTTCAGACCTAAAGCACTTTTTGTACAAGTTGGATTGTAGACCAGTGCTAAGAATCTGGATCATTGCTTTAAAGAAGTCAAAATAAACTTCTTTCAGGAAGCAAAAGCCTTGCTGGCTAAAAGTATCGTATTAGTTTTACTCTAATGTTMTCTTTCAGGTTGGAGTCCCCCACCCGGTCTTTGTTGATGGAGGCCCCCAAAGGAATCCAGATCCTAGCCGAGGCCGGAGACATTCAGGCCATTTGCAGGAACGAGCTGCGACTGGAGTCCAAAGACGGAGAGGTTAGTCAACCAACGGATCGTTTACCAAAACCTTCTGAGATTAAAGTAAAAAAACTGGTATGAAATCGAATTTTTTGTTTTTGCCTGTAAAAAAACTAAAAAAAAAAAAAACTGGTCAGATCACAAAACAGAATAAAATGTCTGGTTGGTTGAATTGATTGATTCAAACTGTAAAAAGTTGTTTTTTTACCAATCAGCACAAAAATTAGGCCACAGAAAGACAACATTACCTCCGGAGCTGCGGTCTTTGATTATCACTAATTCTGTATTTTCTGTTTAACTCTATGTCTATATATTTTATTTAAAAAAAAAAGGTCCTCAGCATACATTTATGATTTATTTTTGGTGCTGTACTCATGTTTGTGCAGCCAAAACCAAAAGAAGCCTCATCAAAAAATAAAAATACCAATAAAAAATTTAAATTTCCTGAAAATAATTGTCTTTTACCAACTCAGCAGGGACTAAGAAAGCCCATCCAGGGTTCTTTTGGGTCAGAACTGTGGTTGAAATTGTGTTTCTGATAAAAAAAAAAAACACAAAATAAAAAGAAAATCTTTCTTCTCGTTGCTCCAAACTCTGAACAAACCTCCCYTTCTGCAGCAGCAGGTGAAGGAATTAACGCTTCTTGTCTTCTGGCCCTGGAGGTTGACGTCGCTCCCACTTGATTCGATATTTCTCCTGTCCAAACTTATTTTTAGCAAACAACAATCCAAACGATATTTAGCCCCCTCAGCCAACACGGGCCGACGTTATTAAGATGGCTGCTGGCAATTTCCTGCTGGCTGGCCGTCCTCCAGAACCACACAAAGGCTGGAAGACTGGGAGCAGAAGTTGATTGCTTTTTCTTTTTCTGACTGCCTCCAGACGAAACCAAGGCACAACTGAGTCTTTTATTCACTAATAACTATTTATTTTCCATTCAGCTTCTCAAATATTCTGGTTGTAGTCYTGGGAAAAGGGGAGTCCACCTTTATTCAGTTCTGGAGTTTTAGGACTGAATCAAACCCATCTGGACTTATAACAGGTTCTAAAATGGTTCAGATTAACCTCAAATCAACAAAAACTACATTTTAAACTGAGTTATTTATTAAAACCAAATGTTGAGCCTCCTTTAGCAGAACTCAGTGGTTTTCAGGCTCAGGTGCATCAGTTCACTCAGATTTCTGATCTGTAGACCAGCTGCTGTGTTTGGATCATGGTTCTTTTGGAACCATTTAGACTCTATGTCCTGATGCATCTCAGTAATCCAGGTAAAAAAAAATCAAAAAGAAAAAAATTGTATAGGTCTGAAACTCTCAGACTGAAGAAGTCTCTTGGAGGAGAGACAAAATGCTTCATTAAAGAAGAACCCGTACAGAAGACCTATACAATTTTTTTCTTTTTGGTTTTTTTTCATTTAGACTCTAGAACCCTGTGGTTTACAGAGGAGCTCACAGTCCACTCATCAAACCATGAGCCCTCCACCACCGTGCTGACAGCTGGGAGGGTAAACATCTGCCTTTTCTGGTTCTGCTCCAGAGGTCTTGTGGTTCTCTCAGAACCACGTTGTGCRGCCTTGTTGTTTTATAGAGAAAAGGTCACGACCTTTGACCTTTATGCTGCTGACTGAGGCCTGTAGAGATGGGCTTATTGCATGGTCTGACCTTCAGGCTGATGATAGTTAAGATGGAGTTTTGTCGACTGCTTTTTTTCTCTTTTTTTGGTGTTTTTACCTCGGTTTTTGTTCATCCACTCATTTGCTGCTGCTTCTTTTTCTTTTTCTTTTTTTTTACCCGTGCTCCAACAATTCCCCGCTTTGTTCCGCTCATCATTCTTCGGGTTCATCACGGTCGGCTGAGCTGATAAAGGGATTTTCCTCCGCAGGTTGCGCCAGTCGTCTCGTGTCAGATCTGTTAAAATCACACGGGAGGATTAGGGAGAAGAAAGTGTTTAAAAGTTTCCCACAAAAACATTTGCGTACATTACCACAGTCTGCTGAAATGAGACGAACAGAGRGGGGGCAGGGGGGTGAAGGTGCCCTTGAATCCTGTTTAGTCCAATTAAAAGCAGCCGCAGCAGCTCTCTGAAGCCCCGCCCGCTCCGCGGCYTCTCGCTGCCTTCATGGTTGTGTGGTCAGAGATGAGATGTGGACGTTCCTGTGGATGAGGTGTATAATTAGGACGGTGTTCTCACACCCCATTAGTGCTGCAGACGTCCATTTGTCAAACCTCTGTCTTACACAGGAAGACTCACTCTCTACATCCTCAGGCGCCGCTGCTGCAATTACTGAAAGMTTTCGGCTATTAAATGCCGATGGACCGCAATGAACGCGCAGAGGCCGCTCGTTACTAACCAGGAGCTCCGGTCCTCGTCTGCTGAAGACGTGTTCAGGTCGAGCAGCCCTAGTCTTCTTTATGAAGCAGTGATTTAAATACACTACTTTTATCACATTCACCGTACTCATCAGGTGTATTTGTACAAAGTACTGGATCGGTATCAACGATACCAGCCTGAGTTTTACTCAGTATCAGAATCTGTAAGTAAATTGATGACATCGAACATCGCTGGTAAAGACAGCTGTATTTTCTCACGGTTTGGCCAGCTTGAAATGAAATGGCAGCATAAACCCCGCCCACAAAGTTCAGACCAATCACACGATACTTGGTGCAAACCCCTGGGAGAGAGGTTCTGCCAGGAAGAGGAACGTTAGAGGAGGCCACATGAGAAAAATAAGTTTCTTTGGTCTGTTATGGTGAATACGGACCTGAGGTTTTGGATTTACTGGTCCGTCTATGTTCCAACCCTGACATGATGTCTTGATCCAGACCTCCMTGAGGCAGACCAGTTGAGAGGAGGTTGAGAGATGAGAGGAGTTCAGAGTAAAGTTGAGGCTCCGTCACACAGAAAGGCCTCCAGGTTCAGCTCTCTGATCAGGAAGCCTCTGGGCCACTTCCTCTGGGAGGGAAGCTCAGGGCAGAGCCAGGACTCTTTGAAGGGACCYTGTATCCTCTCTGACCTGGAAACACCTCAGGATCCCTCCGAGGATCTGGAGAATCCCTCTGAAGTCCACTATTTATCCTTTAATTTCATACTTTCCAGGTCCTCCTGGGCCTGAAGGCAGCTTTAACGTCTTGTTTTTGGATTGTGTAAAGACTCCAGACCCAATGRAGATTTGAACCCAGGTCTTTGTTGCTGTGAGGCTAAAAGCGCTAACCACTTAACCACCGTGCTCCCCTAAAAATAACAACAAAAACAGTGAAGATAAAAGATAAAAGCCTCTTTTCATTTAGATCAACTCATCGATTGGACGGAGAAGCTTGATTTATTTCTCTCTTTATGTTGTAAAACTGTCTTTAAGACAAAAAAGGCCAACGTTGCAGCTTTAAAGACTTAATCTACACAGACTCTTTGACCTCCTTATTACCGGCGAGCCTCGGCACGTCGGCCCCTCAAAGATTTGTTCAGCAGCAGCTGTCGGTGGAACCAGCTGAGACTTTGCTTTAAAAAGAGGTTCCAGGTCATTTGTTGGCGATGCCTCCCAGAGGCTCCCGGTAATAGCTCCTTTACCGTTTTTATGGCTGGAGAGCTCCTCCTCTCTGTGGCCAGTAAAACACCCACAGACACGAGCCCCGGGAGGCCTTCAGGAGGAGGAGGAGGAGAGGTGTGTTACTGAGCAGAATGAGAAATATATTTGGTTCCAATCAATGGAGGAGGTAAAATGAGTTTTTCAGTGAGTGAATCTGTTTGTGAGGAGAGGACGGTGACAGAGCAGCTGCTAAAGAGGAGAAACTTATTTTAAACAACAAAATAATTTAAATTATAAATACACTTCTGTCATTATTAACCTTCTCTTATTGTGAGTCAGGAAACATCCAGAGCAGTTTGAACCAACAGGGCAGGCACCAGGACCAAGCTATCGCCTCATAAAGCAGCTTCTGCAGCTACGTGCTGAGAGGAAGAGTCTCTGTTAGCGTCATGGAGGTTAAAGTTGAGTTCATGCTGATGTTTGTCGATTTTAATTTGAGAGTCTCAATTTTCTGTTTGACATGAGAGTCCATTAAACTTAAAAATAAAATAAAAAATTCATTTTCTTTTAGCTTTTAGTTTGACTTTTGCATCTTTTGGTTTTTAGAGTTTAAATTTTTATTTTTTAGCTAGCGATTTGTTTCTTTTAGCTATTAGCTAAKCATTTTTTCTTTGAGCTAGATATTGGTTTGCTTATTTTCTCTTTTATGTAGTGTTTCACCTTTTTAGCTAGCAAGTAGTTTATTTTAGCTATCCATTTTGTTGTTTTGCTAGCATCTTTTGACTTTTAGCTGTTTTTTTAGCTAGCGATTTGCTTCTATTAGGTTTTTTTGTTTGTTTGTTTGTTTTACCTAGTTAGCACTTAGCTTATTTTGCTTTTAGGTAATGTTTTGCTTCTTTTTGCTATCAGATGTCTACTTTTAGGTATCGATTTTCTGTTAGATAGCAGTTTGCTTCTTTAAGCTGTTAGCTTGTATTCTCATTGTCATTTTTGCTGAAGATGTAATGTTTCTAGTTCTGTTATTTTGGTAAAATGTTAGACAGCCAAACTGAAGTTAGGTCTCTAGTTAGCCAGTTTATCTGCAGCTTTAAAAGTTGTTAATTTTACCAAAAGACAGAGTGACTCTTATAGTTTGTCTTYAATGTTTATGTCTAAACGATGTTAGCTTTAAAAGCATACGTCAAATCATCATTAATCATCAGTTATTTTAAAATATTTTTAAGAGTCTTGTCTGTCTTTTTTTAAAGCTCAATCTTTAAACAGCTCACAGCAACATGTGGGAGGAGTTTCTCTCATTAAAATGTGGGTGTAGTTACTTATTAAATACTAATTAGTTACTGAAACTGAATGAGGTCAGCTGGTACTGAGCTGGTTCTGGACTTTTAAATATCAAATATTTAACAAATAAAATCTTTGTCTCCCTCCATCACAGATCACTCTGGATGCTCGGAGGATCCGTCTGATGAGGCTGCCTGAAGGGAAAGCCTCCACCAGCTCCTCGTCCTCAGGGACCAGGCAGATTGTCTACGAGGTCTGCGTCTGTCCCAACGGGAGGCTCTTCCTGTCCCAGGCTGGCCCCGGACCCACCTGCCAGATCAACAACAGCGTCTGCCTCTAGGACTCGTTTATAAATAGGATCTTCTAAAAGGAGAGACGAGCAGAACAGATGTACAAATATCTGCCTCCAGGACTGATTGATGGAGCAGAGGGACAGACTCACAGACGCTCTGACACCAACAACTGGAGACCAGTCTGGACCATTTTAAACCACGGCTGCTGATAGGTGCCAAAACTTCAACGCAAACAAATATTTTTTCTCCTCAGAGACTTGAATCGTTGCAGATTTTAACGGCTTTTTAACACAGAAAGGAACCTTTAGCTTCTTCATATTGAAAAAAAAAACATTTCACAGAGAGAGAAACTGCTATGAACCACGATAGTGATCGATTCTTGGCTCCGCCTCCTACAGATACACGTATAGATGTACATCCTACAGACACATTAACCTATAGATATACGTCCTACAGACATGTTAACCTACAGATGTACATCCTACAGACACATTAACCTATGGATAAACATCCTACAGACACGTTAACCTACAGATGTACATCCTACAGACATTAACCTACAGATGTACATCCTACAGACATTAACCTACAGATACACATCCTACAGACATTAACCTACAGATGTACATCCTACAGACAAATTAACCTACAGATGTACATCCTACAGACATTAACCTACAGATGTACATCCTACAGACATTAACCTACAGATACACATCCTACAGACATT